GGCACTTGAATCTGAATGATTTGAATCTACTCGTGAGAAAGTACCGCTGTCTCGGCGACCCAGGGGCCAGGCGGGTGCCAAACCGCGAACTGCAAAGCACATGATGCAACAGATGATGCAGTAGATGGGTGGTCCAAGCATGAGGGCACTTACCCAATAGACCTGTCGGACATGCATTTCGCGAAGGCCCACGCTGTCCATCGATGGCAAAATCCGGGGTGGTGGCTCTGCCCACCACCCAGGCACTTGGAGCGATTCATCCGAGAAGCGAACTGTCTTCCATATCACTTGCAGCACGAAGTATGCCCAATCTGCCACATTGGGAAGATAGGGCAGCATGATATGGCAACAAGCAACAATGACTTCAGTGCGTACTGCCGACCCAATTGGATGGCGTACTGCCAACTTTTGTGTTTATCTCTTGAACGAGCCAGCCGTGTACGACTCGTCAAACTAGACCTTGAGTGCTACATGATGTTTCAAGCTGGCGAGTGCGCCAGAGTCACTAGAGCCAACTGGCAGGGCATATCACCATCACAGCATGCTGCGAGCGATCAAGGGTACCATCGTTTAGGTCGCTGCGATTGGACAAGCTAAAGTACCCAACGCCCCCGAAACGGTAACCCCGGAACAACACCGCATCCCCCCCGAATTCAAACACTGATGACCAAAACTTGGCGACTACAACGGGGACTGGCGAATGCTCCTTGAACCTCACACCCTAAACACCGAACCCTTTGCTTAACCAGAAGACTCACAAGCGCTGAGCAGTGCCAGAGTCCGCCTTGCGGCTCTGGTTCCGCCCTTTGTTCTGGGAAGTCACCTCCAACAATTCACAGCTGCCCTTGCCAGACCGAGTCGCAAGGCAGTCCTAAAGAAGGCATGGAAGCGCCAATGTTGCCCTCCAGTTACCCCAACAGGATCAAGGGAGGCCTGAAAAATGGCTTCTGTTTCTGTTTGCCCACCTGCTTCGGTGTGCTGGTGCATCGGGGCGAGGCCTGGGATTCAGGGCGAAGGTGCAGGGGACAACGGTTGAGCTTAACTCGCATCCATCATCCTGGGTCGCTGCCAAGCAACACCTCCTGCTTTCATGCCCACCCGTCGCCAGCACCTCTGGGCGCCCGGCAGGTCGCGGCTTGATCGGTGCCTGGCGCCGCGAGTTTCCCCAATGCTATGTTCCCCGACCGGCGCCTGTCTGTGAATAAACAGATTCACGAGTCTTTAGTCAAAAGCCAGCTTGGAACCTGGACCAGGCCACTGGCACAGTGTGCCACCACACAGAGAGCCACCCTGTCTTGCCACATCCTGCCTGCCCCTTTGCGCAGATCACCCCCAGGCTCGGCTTCTGGTCAAAGACCCAGCCTTCCAGGCATGAAAACCCGCTAAGGGCAAAGGCGTTGTGCAGTGATGGTCAGATGCTGACGCCCGCCCTGTCCGGGCAAAGCTCAAAGATATCAACAAGCCAGCCTCGGCCATCTGCCAATTTCCTTGATTCTGGATGCTTGGACCGCTTTCACGGAGAGCCCTCTTGCCCTCTTGCCGAGTCTGATGTAAGGGGGCCTGTGTTGAAACCGAAGGGCCTCAAAAGCCGCACCTGACCCCGGCAGCTCGACCCCGAACCAGCTCAGCCAAGCTTCAAGTACAGGATCCCGTCCGGGCCACGCTCCTCGTGCTCGACGGCAAACCTTTGGGCCACGGCACGGAGGCTTCGTAGTCGATGTGTTCAGCACCCCAAAAGAAACTTTGACTTCTTGCTGGTCAACTGAGCTGACTCCACCCCTCCTGATACGCAGGCAGGGGCCCGGACTCTTGCCCTGCCTCTAGGCCATACATGGTCCGTGGCCTGGATGCCGCAGACTTTCGGAGGACACTGGGCCAGACGAAGATGGTACGAGTAGGGTTGGGTACAGGGGGACTCTTTCAATGACAAGCTGCCGTGACCTTTACTCGCGAGCCGTAGCGTTCACCAACAAACCGGGAACTGCAAAGATCTGGACGAGTGTCTGCAGCATCCAGACACGCGACTTCTGTTGTCCCTGTTTCACTCCTCTCCAAAGATACTCGAACTGAATCAGCTGCTTCTCCACAAAGACAGCTGCAGCTGGCACTCGATCCGTTTGGTGTTGCTACGAGTGAGTCCAAGATCCAAATCCGGAGCATCCTCACTCACATCATCGCCGGGTTAGCCAAGAGACGCCATGACAGAAGCAAACTGCCGGATGTCCACACCATTCTCGTACCTGCGGGGCACTCTGCCTAGAAGCATATCAGGACGCCCTGGTTTGCAGGACGAACAGCACTGGGTATTTTGAGTCATCCAGCAAGCTTTGGGCGAAGGGATCAGAGACGCCGTTTGCAGGTTGGGCACACACATCGCCAGATCTGCACCTGGCACACGACAGAGTGATGCGGCTGGCGTTGTACGCATATGACCCGAGGGTTGGGCTTGGGCCCCTCGTCCTAACTAGATTGTCGCGCTGGGATTTGGCAGATGGATGCAAACTTCAAACGATTCGAGCGCCTGAATCGGTGCAGACCCGGAAAATCCCCCCTGATGATCAACCATGGACAAGATCTGAGCTAACACAACTTGGAGCAAGACAGCAATGCGAGGAACTTTTGACCCTCACTACAGGACCTAAACGAGGGTCGACGAATCGAACTCCGAGCGTGCCCTGGTGACCTTGGGCTTCCTCTGATGCTTTCGGTTCTGCGAGCCACACTCCTGTCAAGGGGCTCCAGGAAGGGCATCTTGGGCTGCAACGTCCGGGATCCTAATATGAGAGGAGGAATTCAGCTTTGGGCTTTCCCATGAGAACAGAGCAGTCAATGCGAGTCAAAGAAGCGCAGAAAAAGGAAGGATTGCAAGTTTGTCCACTGCCGCCTCGATGTGCTGGCCCGAAAGAACTGGCGTGCCTTGGGGTTTCACTAAACCTTGGACCCTACCGTCAACCTGTACGCGGCAACTGTTAGATGATGCTTAGCCCTTATTAGTGATACAAGGGTCAGTGCAGCCACATTTCCTGCAGCTGTTCGTGCGACTACTGCTGCTACTGTCACCCACCACCACCACCACCACCACCACCCCTAGCACCACCACCACCACCGCGACTACGACTACGACTACGACTACGACAACCACTACTAACTACTTCTTCTCCTTCTACCTCTACCTCTACTTCTACCTCTACTTCTACTTCTACTTCTACTTCTACTTCTACTACTACTACTACTACTACTACAACTACAAATAGCAGCAGAAATAGATGCAGCAAGTCGGAGCCAAGGATCCAAGATCCTGAAATCCGCAGAACCTTAAGGCCAGAAGCACTTCCAGAACCCTAAGGGAGTGGCCCAGGTTTTGGCCACACGCGCCACAGAAGTGCGAGTCAGACCTGCCATGCGGTCTTTGCAGAAGGCTGCCCTTCAAGTGAGAGGGTCCAATTAATGAAGCAACAGCACTGTGCCTGCAGGTTGTTCGAGAAAACCCAACATACGCCGTGGCAAGCCTAGTTTAATCCATCCTGCAAGGCTCTTTCATCTGCCTTCCCCCGGATAGTCGCATCATGCACCAACCACTCTCAGACACTAGAAACTTCCCCGGTGACTCTGCCCACAAGGGATCCAACACTGGATGCCTTGAAACAAGAAGCCCCAAGCATAATCGCAGCTTACGCCAGGTGCCCCTAGGTCTCTGAGAGTTCATCCGGGTTTTTTTACCGGGAAAATTGCCGTCCACAGTTCTACATAGATAGACCTCTGGATACAGCCAGCCACTGAACCGTTGTGATGGTACTAAGTTCGTGGCGTGCAAGCACTACCACAGTTGTGGCAGAAGTTCCGAGACACCTGGCAACAATTGCGCACACTCGCAATAGGTACCGACAGGCACAGCAAACGCCACACGCACGAGGCTGCACCACGTTACTAGACGTTTAAACCCCCAAAAGATGACCATCATAACCCTCAGCAAATGACAAACAAATCTCTCAGAATGCAAACCGAGGTCACGGCAGACATGGCCACGGACAGGAGACTCGTACCCTTCTGCGGGGTTGAAACCTGCGTGGATGCAAGGGGCAAGGCTGGCGGGTTTATGTGTTGAAGAGCCAAGGAAGGCTTGGCCACATCCAAAGTACGCCTATTGGCCACCCAAAGCATCAAAGCTCCTCACCTTTGAAATCCAGCCACAGCCTCTGCACTCGAGTCTATGTTGCTCGGGACACTGCTGCTCTAGCTACCTTGGCCAAGCCAAGCCTCCTAAAGCCTCCGGGCAAAGGCCCTTGTACGGTCACCTGATCGAACCATCCTACGCAACCAAAGCACCTCTCGGCCTCACACGCAGATACGACAGACTGGTTCTATGAACACAGTTTATATTCGTTGTGATTGTCGCGAGTATCATTGCCGTTGATATCATGATTGTGATTCAACCTGCACGTTTTGTATCCAAAACTCTGATCCGCCCACACACACCTGAACACGGAAGACTAGGTCAACCGGCACATTAGCCTTTCACCAAAAACCAATTTGGACTTATGGCGTGGTCTCTACGTAGACTTTCATGCGAGTTCTGACATCGGCCCGCAGTCTGCCCAGAGGCTCTGTGGCGGTGAAACGCGTCGAAGACAACCGAGGCAGTGCTGTGGCTTAGAGGTACTGGGGTTCGGGCTTAGGATTCTCCACACAGTGAAGCCACGGCATCAGGTTGTCATCTATAGTCTATAACTCTATAACATACATCCGCTGCCTCCAGGCCACCCCCGGAGGCGCAGGGGGCGCGAAGGGGTTGGAGTTAAGGCTTGGAGTTATCTCCCGGTCTGCTCCCCAAATCTTCGAGGTTCGCTGCGAAGGCCCTATTGAAAGCAGGATGTCAAGAATGCTGTCGGGCTGGGCCACATGCTCAAAACAAGCAAGCGCTGCTGAATCTGTTGAGTTTTGGGTCTGGCCTAGCTGGCTGGCTATTTCATCGCGGTCATGGAGGGGCCCAGACACCTAAGTCAGCCGGCAGTGGCCGAGCCAATCGGCGCTGCCTGCCAAAGACGAAGAAGCGACAGTTGACTGGCCTTGAAGATCTCCCTTGCAAGGTCCCACTTGAAAAGCTTTGATGTTTGAAGTCCCTTGAGCCCTTTGACTGTGAACTCTCGGAAGGGTCACGCGTGCGCCTCGGGCGGTGCATGGCCATTCAGGCCTCTGCTCAGCTTCGTCGCAAAGACAGTCTAAGCTTCAAGCCATGGGATCGGAGCAAACTGCCGGAACACTTACCCGATGTGAGATGAGAAGCATACTACTACAGGCATCCTCGGACTTCACGCAGAATTTCAAGCCGGGTCGGAGAGTTCAGCCGTGGAATCGAGCGGTAGATAGAACACTTCCAGTTCTCAAGTACCTCCGAAGGATGCTCCGTCCTTTCAAGGCGTTCGGTTAGCGGGACCAGCCTTGACCGCCGAAGCCACTCGCTGGGGGCGGCGGTGGAACACCGAAGCCTCGAATCCCCACATCGCGGTTGACGTGCAAAGGAGAATGCTCGCACAGGAATTTCCGGATCAGAGCTGAAATTCTTAAGGCAGGCCCCACTCAAGACATAAATCTGATCAGGCGATGGTTCCTTCGGCACTGTGAGTCTCTCTATGACTATATGCCTACGGGTCAACCACAGTTTGGGTCACACGTCACCATTCATGGTATGTCACCAATGAGTTCACGATGTGCAGACCCAAGAAACTTGGCCTGCATCGTGCCCGGCGGAGGGGTGGGCTTCGGCACCGAAGCCTCGAGATGAAAGCCACCGAAACGAACAAAGTCCAAGGGCTGACGACTGGAAGTCCCCGATGTTGCGATCTGATCTTGGATCATGACAGGCACGAACAGAAACGAGAGTTCGGCCCTGGCCCTGCTTGTAGAGCGCGCCTTCTTGCACGAAGCCTCCGGCCATGTGGCTCTGCACATGACCTCCGGAGGTGTGGGAGACTTTGAGCATGGAGAGCCGTGGCCAGTCTGAGCCCGGCCTAGGTTGTTGCCGTTGCCATTCATCGCAAGCCCGGCCGGTGCAACGCCTGCAATGGCCGGTGCCTCGGATCACAGAACCATCCCCACTCTGAAACACACGATCATCTGTGGACACATGTCTAGGCTTGTATTGCAGGCTGAGGATGTTCGCCGCCTTTGAGTATTCTTGGTGGTGAACAAGCCAGTACTTACGGCTAGTCGGCGACAGTCTCGATCCAGGATCCTCGTGCAGATTTTCACAAGGACACAAAAGCAACAATGTCAAACTCCGAAAGCACTGTAGGAGCCCAGGAACCCACCAACCTGCGGACTAAGCCCAAAATCATAAGCGGGCGGACCTGATGTTCTGCTTCTGGAGCTAGGCTGGGGTCGAAGCCTGTCAAGACAAACAGTGGGGAGGCGTGTTTGCAGGTAAAGCTTTTCTGGCAGCTGGGCCACCGACTTAACTACTTCTGATCATGCGCGCTATTGATCTGTTCGATGGCAAACCGCTTTACCTTTGCCACCTTTGCTACCGCTGCCGACCCCAAACCCCCACTGCCTCCTGCATGCATGCCATGCATGGTAGGCACGTCCTGCCGCATACCAGCACGTGGAGAGTTTGGAGCTCAACAACAACTTCCTCAACTTGACTTTCTACAAGACCAACAAAACCTCACCCCACTGTACGAAGGTGTGCGCAGTTGGGGAACGACCATTACCATACGGGAACACCTTCGGTTAAACGACAAGGACCAGAACACAGCCGAGCTCTTTACGACAGCAGCAAAGGCGTGTCAACCTCGCTGAGTTTCCCCTCTGTCCCGACCGCACCCCAAAACTCTGATCATACACCGCCGAAGGAAACGCATCATGGCCGACGCTCATGGCAAAGATTTGTAGTTAGCTGCATCGGATAACTTGTTTTAACACGATAAACTCATAGCGACGGCATATTGCTTCTATGCAGCTCCAACTCGCCAACATGTTTTCTTCTGCTTGCTGACCGTCACTAATGTTTCTGGTGACTTATCATGTTGATGACACCGGCGGCTGAGCAGGACAGATTTTCACGGAGTCTCGGAAAAAGACACGGGGTGCTGGTAAACTTAATTCGGTATTTGAAGGTATTTGCCATACTGAATCTCTTCAGCGCGGCACTGCTCTGCTGTCATAGACTGCCTTTCCTCGAAGTCCAAATTTTGCTCCATGGCATCAACCTTCATTCCATCTTGAATGTCGAGCTCACCTCCTTTGGCTAGCCAGTCGTAGGGGCAGGTGCCCACCTTTTCCATGCACAGGAACTATAGACCATACCCATTTTGGAGCCCAGAATTCATGTGCACGGTACTCATCCACTCTGTCATGCTTTCGAATCGATTTCCTGATGTGCGGCCAACCTTAGTATAACGGCATCGCGCCGGGCTGCAGGGCGCCATGGAGATCAGTACGGTGCCGGCCAAGTTGCCGATCGTTTGGATCGGCACCATGGCACCCTGCAGCCCTGCATCGACTTCTGTGCCTTTCGGTACTCATTATGTCATTCAGGGAGCCTTGGAATACGATAAAGTACTGGGTGCGGCATTTCTCCTGGAGTCTCTTGCATCTGATGGGGCTTGGGCGTCTTGGAGTACGATAAAGTACTGGATACCACTCGCTCACAATACCAGTCTGTGCAATGCGATCCTCACTCGTCATGCTTGACAACTGGCGCATATGAGGCCTATTATCAGAAAGGAGCCAAGTCGTCCATGATCGCTTCAACTAACGTTTCAATGCTTTGCAGATTCCATGATCTGTCCTTTGCTTGCTTTTGGTGTGGAGTCTTGTCAATAGGAACATGGTCCAATAGCAACCAGGAAAAATACGCATGCTGGAAGCCAAACTTGGGCTTGCTAGCGGTGTGCACGTCTTCGGCCGTTTAGCGAGCTCGGCATCCATGTGTATTCATCTGTCGGACTCTGCTGTCGCAACGCAATTTGAAAGCGTTCCTCGTCGCTTTACGCGACGTATTTAACCGTTTCCTGCTGCAGCTTCATAATCTTCGTCTCACGTAACTGCCCAAGCATCATGTCTTCGGCTGGTTGCTGTGCACATGGTGCTGGAGAAGACTGGCTGGCTGCCATCAAAGCCTCTGCGACTCTGGGCCTGGCATCTCACGATGCCATTGATGCTGGCACCGGGAGCGCGCATCATGAGCATCAGGTGATCCGACCGGGCGTGGCCGAACAGTTGCGCGAAACGACTGCGACAAGACGTGTGTACGGGACACCCGTCGGCCGTCCAACAAGTGCAGCTGACGCTCATGATGCCCGTCGAAAATTGCCAGAAAAATGGTAGCGAAACGCTGTCAATACCGATGACAACGCGAGTTGAACGATGCAAGCTACGTTTGGGGCGGGACACTCGCGGTGATGCTGGAATGGGGCCCCGATCTTCTGCAAATCCGATATCGCGGTCTCCCACCTCCCCCACCACCCCCCCCCCCACCGCCCGTTTTAGGCTTCGCCCGGCAACTCAAATCAAAAAGACATGGCCGCAAAGTACTCGCAAAGCTAATTCGGCACAAATGGCTGCAAATCTGCCGCGGAGGTGGACTTGTACTGTCTTGGCAGAGCGGCTCAAAAACGATGGCACCACAGCCGTAAGACTCTGAAAGAGCAAAGTTCAACTTGGTGCGTGCACCATTGGCGCGTGTGTTACGGGAGGCACTTCCGTGCATGTTGACATGCAGAAAACAGCGGCAGGGGCGATACATTTGTCGGTCAGGGACTTTCAGGGCTGTAAAAAAGGGCAGCTGACAACTCGCGAGTAGATTGGCGATGTTTGGCGCGAAGATCTTTTTTCAGATCGCTGTCCCCCGTGACGCATTTGCGAGTGAGTGTTCGAAGCCTTGCGCAGGCGCGACTGCCGATTGCAGGGTCTATTTCTGTTTCGGCATTCATGGTGGAGCCGACTTCCAGCTTCATGACGAGGAAATGCGTTTCTGTTCGAGCGGTCTGCCGGAGCTTTGTGTCCTTGATTGGTGTAACATCGTATGCTGACTCCCCCGGCCAGCGACAGAAGCTGCCTGACCACTGCCTGACCAAACCTTGAGAAGCAACAGCAGAAGCAGCACTGCAACATGAACCTTATTAGCCCCCCAACACCCCCCTCACCCCCGAACCAAAAAAAAGCAGAGCAAAACCTCTGAAGTAGAAAAAGCAGATATTTGCGACCCCCTGAAAAGGCCCTGAAAATCCGAAGTGCTCCAAACAACGGAAACCTCGTAAATACCGGGTCGAACAGCTGAAAAGTGAAAAAAAAAATGCACGGGCGTGGACGGTTCACGGTCCAACTACAAACTACAAAATTCAGTCTGCAGCAGTGCTTACTCTGACACCCAGTTCCTGCTGGGCTGCATTGAAATCGACCTGTGGTGGATGGAGCGTCTTGCCATTCATCTCCTGAGAAAGGCAAGGCTAGCGGCTAGCGGCTGTTCCAGGCTATCAGCTCAGCAGCCTCTGCCTGCAACCGAAGAGACCCTCAATTCCATCCTGCACGGCACTCTCTGAAGATCGAACCAACCCGACGGTCCAACTTCAACTTCTCTTGGCCACCGGACGGCGATGGCTGCCTGCGCCAGGCCGGCATCTGCCATGGTAATGAAGCCCCACCTGATTCTCAGGACGATCTCAGATTCATGGCGCTGTTCGGACTCCTTCTGTGCTGGCTCCCTTTTGGAAAAAGTTCACATGGTCCCGCCCTGTCATACACCCTGAACCAGCATGGCAGCTGCACCCCTCAACCTTGCGCTCTCGCATCCTTTTTCATCTTTGGCCACAGGGGGCACGTGAAGCCTCTCGCGCACATTGGAGATTCTCCCGAGATGGATGTCAGCATGTGTACACCTCAACCTTTGCGTGCCGGGATCGTGACAGCCTCACAATTAGAAGAAGATCTGTCGCTTAGAGAACTGAAAACTGCGCTCTGCATCTGCGCGAGTTGACAAACAAAGCCGTTAATTCTACCTGCTCACACCCAGCATCCGGTCATCTCAGCGCAAGAAGCTGGACGTTAACACTTCAGACGGCGACCTGCATCACCATCTTGGGATGTGCAACATCCCACAACGAAATTGAATCCTTGCACTCCTATCCCCCCGAGAAATGCTGCCTAGCGCGGCAAATGCAGCCCGGCAGGAAGCTCTACATCCTCCAGAGCTGCCACCCGCACAGCTGTAAACCCCAACATTGCCACGGACAGCAACTTCTGCCCGCAGCAGCGTCAGACAGTGCCATTGCCCGCGTCCGCATCGCAGGCAAACGTGATGGGCGAGAGCTCCCCATCAAGACAGGTGATTTGATCCACATCCGCCTGGATTTTCGGGGTCTTTTTGCTTGTGCAGATGTCGTGGGACTGAGTAAAAACACACAATATTGGTGCTATTTATCTGTTGGCGCTTGGGTGCTCTGGCATCACAGTCGGAGCTCTTGACAGTTTCACAAGCTACCCTGTGCCGATCTAGCGTCCATGCCCCCACTCGCGTGCGGCAAGGGTGCGGTGAAGCCCGGCAAGCAAGCAGGAGTACAGTTGTTTCCATGTTGGATGAGGTCCCCCTCCTGGCAGGTGATGTTGGCCTGAAGCTGCTGCACACTTTCTGTGGTGTCTCGGAGCAGTGGCTTCGGGGTAGATGAGATTGCAGTGTTGATGTTCGCGCAAATCCTCTGCTGAATCACTAGCAACCTCAAGGATTACGGCGATTAAGCCCACCTGTCATGGCCTGAAGCTTGAACGTCAGAAGCATGTTTTGTCATGTCCATCCCTGTGCCAGCGTGCATCCCGTCCAGATGGTACCCAGAAAAAGGAGCAACTGCTGCAAACTGAGAGCTCATTAGATCGGTCTGTCTTCCATCTATGTAGCTTGCAGGTGCGAGATCTCAAGAGGCCGCAAAGGAAGCCTTGCAGCGAGACATGAACTCAAAGCACGGCCAGATAAATCCCAGCAGCCGAGTTATCGATGTAGCTCCCCGTCGGAGAATAGCAAGGCACATCCACTTGGATTTGGCCAGTTGTGGTTTTCCGATCCTCAGATTGGGCTGCTCGGTGTCTGGAGCGACTTTACTGCCGAAACGAAGAGACCCGGAACAGCCATACATAATTGCTGAAGAACCTTCTGCAGATCCAAAAGGGGCGTGCTAAGACTACATCTTCGCTCCCGATCCTGTTCGCATGGTTGCTGGGATTCTGAAGTGATAGGACAATCGCTTAAATTCCAGGGTTGCGCATTGCAGCAGCAATCTACTGAGACGATTGCCAACAGACCATTGACAAGCCGTGAAACTCGATCAACGTCCAGTTCTCATGACAACCTTTAGCTGAAGATGCGCAACCGAGGACTCTAGCAACAATCGCTTCCGCGAATCCAAGGGTACGATGGAGAGTCCAGTGGTGCGATCCTTGACCTCGTGGAGGATGACCCAGTCAATGTTATTGGGCGAGCCTTGGCGCAACGCACATGGGATTGTGCTGGAGGAATCCATGCTTGTCCCAATCTGACAGTCGACTCACATTGCCGCCGCAACCGACGGAGACGCCGGGAGACCCTTTTGTCTCCACTAACGGGCTTGCTCTTGGGCATGAACACTCATGAGAGAGGCCAGAAGAAACCAAGGCACCCCAAAGCTGCCAGCGCACCGGATCTCGCTGCGGCTCGTCGTTGCCCGTCACGAAGCTGTAACTAAACGCTGGCTGTGCAACCGGCAGCCTGCAGGAATGGGTCGGTCTGCATAGATGAGGATAGCACTGCTTCACCCACCATGCCGTTTCAGCTGCTGCTACAACTTCTCGAGGCCCTGCAGAACACTGTGCTTACAAGGACAAAGGCTTGCATGGACTCCGATTGCGACTGGGACAGAACTACGGAGAAGTCGGTCAAGGATGGTGCTTGGCCAGCCTCACGAAGAAAGCGTTCGACGAATAGTCCAACCATTTCGTTTCCCCGTTGTTGTCTCCGAGGTTGTACGGTTCCTGCAAGGGCTGCGAGCGACATCGCACTTGGTCCTCGGGCCTTGCAAGCGGCCATCCTACTTCAGCTATCGGGATCCATGGGTGCTGGGGGCAAAGCTCCCAGAACATTTCGAAACTGTTGCTTTGTCTCAGAGGCTCCGGGGCTCAGCGTCTAAAGCGGCCTTAACATTGCAGGATGATGCCCGCTCGCTAAGCCAAGGTTTTCAGCCTCTGCTTTTCAATACACATTCCATTTCTTTTCACCGCCTCATGATACGTCCCTGCAGCTTCCCGAGGTAGAGTATAGTCGGTAGTTCCTCAGAGACTACGCCTCCGCACAACTACAGGAGTTGAAGATGTTCGTGCGACGGAAGAAAACACAAGAAAATGATGATCCGCATATGTATTCCGAGCTCCAAGAAGCTTCAAAAATCTTTAGACCTTGACCCACCTTGATTCAGGCTCCTGATCATGGACACATGGCCACTGTCCTCTCGAAGGTTCACTGGCGTGTCGCACGGATCGCAGTAGAAGACCCTGGTCGGACCGGTATTCGAGGTGGCATCTCTAACGAGCGAGTTCCTAGTCTTAGTGCTGACACCTCAGGAATTCACCAGTCAACAAAGGGACAACACCCAGCGGTGCTTCCACCCCACCCTGAAGAAGCCACTTTAGGGCCTTTAGGCTCTCGAAGCCCTTGTGCAAGGAAACAACAACCTCATCTTGGCCAAGGAGCGCCGAGTCGTAGCCGTCGACCAGCACCTGCCAGTGCCGCGCCCACTAACACGGCTTGAGATCGCAAGAAGAGCTTATTTTCTCAGCTTTGGCCCTGCTTGGGAGCGGCTTCGCGCGCGTTCTCGAATCTACTTCCATGGAGCCGCACCCTTCGGCCTGCTGGTTGTACAAGAAGAAATCCGACATCTGAACCACCTCGCCATGGCCGTGAAGCCCAAAAGCACGTTCAACATCCGAGTGTTCTGACCGAGGTGGCAGACCAAGCAGCGAGTCACAAGTGATCCCCTACCCAGTGGAACACTTGAGCACCCCCTCTGCTAGAATGGCAGGAACTTTGGTGGAGATTGTAAAGACCGTGCAGACGCAGGCGGTGTGCCGCCTGCAAGCAAGAATGAGAAACCGAAACCGGCAACTGCGCACAGCCCGGATGCCGAACTCTCGGCTTCTGAAAGTCGATTCCCTGAGCGCATGACGGTGGATCCACTCTGGCGCAGCTCGAGGGGCAGGAACCTGTAGTAGGACAGAGCCTGCGCACGGGATTCCAGGCTTGAGGCTTGCAGGGCTGCAGTGCGACCCTGAGCAAAAAAAACTTCTGAAAGCTCTCCCGTCACATCTACATGGACTCCAAAAGAGCGCGTCCAGTTGGGGCAAGAGACCATACCACGCTCGCAGCACCAGAAAAGGTCCCGTGATTCAATGCAGGTTGTTCCTGGGATGGGCGGACCATGGCCGATTGCGCAGAGCAAACAAGCTCTAAGACTCTAAGTCACACCAACCTGCTGCTAGATACCAGCTGCCGTCAAACCATCCCCCGGAATTGACAGCCAGAGCTCCCTGGCAGTAGGTGTCATACCGAAGCACCTGGGGAAGAGGGGGTCCACATGTCTCTCAACTGCACAGACTGACGTTGCAGACCCCTCTCAGCACGGATCGACAACTTGCTCAGAGACCCTGGAAGGTCCAAGGCACGTAGTTCAGTGGACACGTGAGAGCCTTGGTCCCAAGAACATCTCCTATATCGAGAGGATGTCATGTACCAGGCACCCTGCATTCCTGTAGCAATGCATTCGATCACAAGACTCTCCCGACACAACTGAGCATCGTCGACATGCTCAAGCACCGAACATGTTGCGGCAAACCCATCCTCTCCATCTTGAACCAAGAATATCCAAGAATGGAGTGAACAGAAAGCACGGCAAGTTTCTGATGCCTGATTTCCTGGCTGAGACATGAAGTGGGGCGTGGGGCCGAGCAGGGCATCGCTGGGCGGCAGCAGCGGTCCCGGTCCTCAGACGAATGCTCTTTTCTGTGGGCGTCTTGCCCTTCTTGCTGGCCTGTGAGAGGGAGCATCGACGTTTGCCCTGCGACATATTCGTTGCTAGTCACGCGATCCACGTCGCAGGTGATGCCGTCGCAGTAGGTGTCCTGGGCACACGAATGCAGGCAGTAGCACACCTACGGTCAGCCACTACCCCCTGAAGAAGTGCAGTCGGGTATCAGGCCAGGCAGTGAAGCCGTGGGGGCACGCATAGGCAGTGGCGCACCTGAAGCAGTGCCCAAAGAGTCCGTGACATGACGTCTAGTACTTTGGTCTGGTCTTCACGACAGGCAGGGTGTGGTGCATCGCTCTTTTGCTTGAGAACATCTATGAATGAATGATCCTGTCTGGAGGAATTAACAAGTGTGTAGCAACATCCAGTCTTGAAGCAAAAGCTACTGCGCACTCGCCTGCACTCAGAGTGTAGCAACTTAGATTTGCAGGGGGCTCTGAAGATGTCGTTTGATGTCTCGTTAGCAGGTTTCGGACTTTCGCCCAGCACAACCCAAACCCTCCACCCTACACTCCAGGCTTGGAGCCCTTTGCCGGCTGCAGTCCGGCCACAAAGGTGCCGGCTCGCAGCAAAGGTCTCGGTCGCGGTTGATATCGCCTGTG